AAATTACCAGATCTGTTTTTATCAAGATCGTTGTTAATTATTTAATAACAGGATCTCCTGGAAAGAAAAAATCACTTAAAGGGACAGAAACATCTAAAGAGACAGAAACACATAGCGATACAAAACAATGTAAAGTAACAGAGCTACCTGGATCTCCTGGAAAGAAAAAATCACTTAAAGGGACAGAATCATCTAAAGAGACAGAACCACATAGCGATACAAAACAATGTAAAGTAACAGAGCTACCTGTTAGACCTCAATATCTGCCTAGAATACTAGATATGGTTCAAGATGTCGCAACCATTTTTGCACGCGTAAATGGGATTCTAAACGGTTCGCCTGACGCAGCTGCAAATGAGATACGAATAATTGCTAGACAGCTAGAGTCAGAAATCCCTTCAACGGATGACCTAACATATGAATCTTTGTTGACAGTGTCATCAAGCAAGAAAGCCTTGGAATTTTAAGACATTTACTTAATTTAATTGAAAATATTTTCATTGTAAATTATTAGTATTAGTGTTCTTTGAAATCATCATTTAATATCAAAATACAACCGAATTAAGAAATGACCTGCCATTGTATAAATGCATCACATACCATACAGTACAATTAATGAACAGCTGCGCTTGTGGTCTGTCGTAGGGAGCGCCGACATTGTTCAAAACATTTGTTCAACACATTGTTCAACACATTGTTCAAAACATTTTTTCCATACATAATTATTTTACTCCACAGAGAATTAAAGCCAGACGGTTAAGATATAGACTTTTGAATATTAGAAATTTTTTGTTATAACATAGTTTTCAACGTAGTATTAACTAAGAAGTAGATAGGACTAAGTATTATTTTTAAGTAGTAACGAAGGCAATTGCTTTACAAAAAAATATCATTATGTAAAATACTTTGTATATTTACATTGAATAATTCGACATTATGGAAATATACAAAATATGAAACTCATGTTCACTGTTACGTTCGAACGATATATATAACCATCAACGTTACTCACTCTCATATACGATTGTAAAAGATGATAAAGAACTTACATCTCTCACATATTTGATGTGAACACATTTCAAGTAGATTTATTTAGCAAAATCGACTTGGTCGCCTTCCAAGTTGCTAACAAGATTGTTTATGACATAAGTTTTATTAGGCAATAGTTTAGTTGAGAATGTATATACGATTATTAATCCTTCTGTGTAATTATTAAAATTATTAAGTCTTATTGGAAGCAATAACATTCATTTACATTCAAAAAGTTCAATGAATATTGAGCTTAGACTTTAGGTAGTTTAATGCAAGGACCTTTAACTGTGGGTAATGAGAGTCCAGAAATAACATAGATAGATTGGCCTAATCGTGTTTCAGAGCAAACTAATTCAGTGGTATCGTAAGGACACTTTATATTAAGACAATCAATTTGGTAACATAACCGTCTTTACATTGGTATTTTCAATCCTATTAGACGACACGAAAAAAATAGTCATCCAGACATCGTAGGCCTACAATTACATGTATATGGAGAAAGTAAACTTGTGTGCGTCTCTGAAACTAGTGTTAAAAGAATCTATTATTTAAATTTTGAAATGGTACCTTATTTATAGAATATAACCAGGGGCGGATCTAAGGAAAATTTGGGTAGGGGCCATGCGACGTGCGAAGATATTTTGTTTAGAATTGCTTGAGACCATAGGCACTGAAGGCATTTAAATCGAATGATTGTTTGATAATGCTTAATTATATTGGCAAAGTTTTATTGGAACTTAGATCAATACATTCATGATTAGGCATGAAATGTACGCTAATGAAATGCACATAATAATAATAATAATAATAATTCTGGATTTATATAGCGCCTCACGTTGACACAACCTCGAGCACATCACAAATAAGGTTGTTAGCTTAGTAATTTTCATATATAACATGTATTATTTAATTTGTCAAAACAAAGTCATAAAAATGTATGCTTCCTGGTAATTTGAGGTCAAACCATCATACACATCATTTGATAGATAATTTCATAGCTGTTGTATGATACTAAATATATTCAGATTAAATCATTTACTAACGTACTAGCTTCAAAATACCATTTTTGCGGGAGATGACCTTTAACATACTATAACTCCGAAATAAAAAATGGATAATGTCTGAATTTTTTATAGTTGTTTTATTTTGTATATGGCCAGTTTTTGAGAAAGTATCATACGAAAAGGTTGTAGCTTAATATTTTTAGTATTTATTTAATAAAACATGTATTATTACATTTTCAAAACAAAATTTAATGACAAGAAAGATCGACGTTTCGGGTCCATCATGGAACCATTCTCAAGATCAAGTAAATTGAAAAAACTAAAAACAAAAATACCAAGCAGTGACAGGAAGTAAGTAATTAATTTACATATCAATAGGGCCTACTGTGTGGAGCCATAGTTAAGCTAAGCAATAATTAGCCCTTCTTAGCAGATTAACTAGATAAACAGTTTCGCTTTGACTGAATCAGTTTGTTTGTTAAGTGTAGGTTTCAGTTCTTTGATCCAAAGCATTTCCTTGATTAAGCAATCAAACTTGGATTTGCACTTAGATAAAAGTGGGTAACTTCGATTTCGGGATTGGAAAAGGAAAGGGAGGGGTAATTAAGACTTTGATTTTTAGTTTTTGTTAAGCTCATTTACTTTTACTTTTGATTTGTCATGTTTTGATTTTGTTTGTTTTCTTATATTTTCCTTGGACGCACCGTTTTCTACGTGTGCCACTGTTGTAAAAGTGTAGCTTCCAAATAAAGAATAAAACCTTGAAATAATCATTTCTTATGACGTCGTCGTCTCATTATTTACTAATGTTCCACTTGATGAGACCATTCAAATCCTTGCCGACAAAGCCTTTGAACATGATTGGTTTAACGTCCAGTATGGTCTATCAATTGACAGACAAGGTCTTGTCGATCTACTCACGGTTGCCACGAAAAACCAACTTTGTAGCCATGGGTTCTCCACTTGGACCACTAATGGCCAACATGTTCATGAGCAACCGCGAAGACACCCTACAATCAGCTGATAAAATGCCAACATTTTACCGATGATATGTTGATGATACGATTGTGTTCATGCCTGACAAGGATTCTGCACACCAGTTTCTAAACACCTTAAATAACTCTCACTGTGCTATTGACTTTACCATGGAAATTGCCCATAATAATTCTATAAACTTTGTAGGAATGGCTATTTCTAAAACAACTACTTCATCATTGGAAACTAAAGTGTACAAGAAATCTACTAACAAAGGTCTTCTTTTACATTATGATAGTCATGTAGACAATAAATACAAAAGAAATCTTGTACATACTGTGCTTAATAGAGCTTACAAATTATCATCAACCAATGAATTATTTCTTGAAGAAGTTAATGATATTGCAACTATGTTTGGTAGATTAAATTACCCAGCGGAATTAATCAGTAGTATCATTAATGATTTTAAACAATCTATTGTTAATACATCTAACAATAATATTATTACTACTAGTCAAGAAGCTATCGAGCAACCCATCAGAATTGTTCTACCATTTAAAGATCAAACTTGTTCGAACACCGTATCTAAACAACTTAAACAGCTTAGCTGTAAGATTAATAATGAAATTATGCCCGGATTCACTAGCAGGAAGATAGGTGAAATCTTGAAATCGAAAGAAAGTAAACCTAAGATTGTTAATGAACAATACGTTGTTTATAAATTTCAATGTGGCTTGTGCGATCCAAGCTATGTCGGCTACACTTGTCGACACCTTTATCAACGCATTGATGAGCACAGTAAAGGTAACATAGGACAACATTTAAAAGATCATGATATTAGTGCTACTGAAACTGTTAATTATTTCAAGGTTTTATCTAAGTGCAAATCCAAGTTTGATTGCTTAATCAAAGAAATGCTTTGGATCAAAGAACTGAAACCTACACTTGACAAACAAACTGATTCAGTCAAAGCCAAACTGTTTATCTAGTTAATCTGCTAAGAAGGGCTAATTATTGCTTAGCTCCACTATAGCATGGTTCACGTCGAACTTTTATCTAGATATATATCCACTTAACTAGTTAAAAGTTCGACGTGATCCGCTCAAGTATAGCTAGATAAAGGAATTAAGTCACTTAAGTTAAGTAACTTAACTTTACTAGAATAACGGTAAATTAACTTGCTTAACGGTAAAGTCGGCTCGGATTACAAGGACACGATTACGTAACATAGGCATCTAAGCCAGCGTTGTTGTATTGTACCACCAGTATCATTTTCTGGCTGGCAACAACATACTTTAACAATGCTAACAACAGCATCGAAGTAGTCTCATTAGTCTGGTTTTCAGAAATTATTTGTAATACTATGGGTAAAAACCCAGCAAACGTTCGTTTTACGAATAGTCGATATTTCCAATGACCTTTGCCCTTTGCATCATCGACCAAGTAATAACGTTAAAAAGTCCGATTGCGTACGTTTTTCAATGTGGTAATGTATATTTTTCTTAATAATAAAATCAGATTTGTTGTATTTATTTATTGACAAATCAATCTTTTCCATTTCTGCTATAATAGTCGCTATTAATTCAATTTCAACCAGGGGTGGATCCAGACAACAATATCCTAGGGGGTCCGGGGGCATGCCCCCGCGAAATTTTTGTGTTCTAGACGCCCGAAAATAACATTTGAGGCGTTCTTGGCTATCATTTTTTTTCTTTTTCTTTCTTTTTTTCTTTCTTTTTTTACCTCCCAAAAGGGGGGTCCAAAGGGGGGGGGGGCGGGGCCGGGCCGCCTCCCCCTAAATCCTCCCCTGTCAACGAACTACCACGCCAGTCGTTAAAATGAGCGCACATGTTTACGATGACGAAATAAAAAAGTGTGTGGAAGTCAGCAATTTATTTGACACCGCGAAGCTAGATTTTCGCGAAGTGCATGTAAACAACACAATTGAGCGATCTAAAAACTACAAAACAGGACAGAAAGGACCATAAAGTATACATACGTTTTAATGAAAATTAAAACAATATTTTGTTAAATGGAAGAATGCTAGCTAGCGATTAAAATAATTCGTTTTTTATCGAAGGTAAAATTAGCTAGGGCCTATAGAGAATCTTTTAGATTGCGATAGAACACGCTGCTGCACTGTCGTTGGTTCGTACTGGTCGGCTAGGTTAGGTAGTGGAAACTCACACCTTCTCTACCGTAGTTTACAATTTTTTTTAACGAATACCACTTGGTACTAGAGGTTCGTAAAATACAGTACAGTAGATGTTTTATTAAACAAGCCTTTCCACCGTGTGACGTCGACGACCTGAAACTGGTTGGCTGTTTATCTGGCTCTAACTTGGCATCGAACGCAATTAGGGGATTATCGTATCATGTTTCAAGACGGGTATATCTAGATAATGTTCGACGTGAACCAGGCTTATGGCTCCACAGAGTAGGCCCTATTGATATGTAAATTAATTACTTACTTCCTGTCACTGCTTGGTATTTTTGTTTTTAGTTTTTTCAAGTTACTTGACCTTGAGAATGGTTCCATGATGGACCCGAAACGTCGATCTTTCTTGTCATTAAATTTTGTTTTGAAATTATAAAGCGTCTCTTAATTCATTATTACATTTTGCCAAAAAAAAGTCATAGAAAAATAGGGTTATTTGGCAAATGTTTTGGTACTAGTGCATATAAGCTTGCTAATATGGATATTTTTTTCATTCCTGATAATGACATAATTAATGTC